TTAGTCATCTTCTCTTCGGATTTTAGTCTTCAGCACGGCGGTGTGGGGCCTCCCCCACCTATCAGAAGTTTCTCTGGTGCTGGATTCCGTCCGTTTCTCATCCGAAATGTGGTGGTGAAAGCGGAGTATTTGAAGGGGGAGATGGCGTCTATGGACGTTTCTTCTCCTCCGCCGCCGCCTCGCCGCCGATTGTTCTGGTTTCACGGATTTTGGGATTTGGGAAAGGCGGTGATTAATTATTGAGAACATTTGAATCTAACTTCAAGGTTTTGATATGATGGTCAAGTTATATCTTTCCTGATGTTTGCGTTGCAGAGGCTCGGCGGTCGTCTCCATTTTCGCCGGTGCGGAGGAGAAAGTATGACCGGGTTCTGGTCTCTCACCGATTTGGGATCTTTGACTAGCATTCATGACAGGTTGTGTTAGGATACGAAAACTCGAATTGCTTCTTCGTAGATCATTGAATTTGTATCCGAGATGAAAAAATGTTTTTTGGGATGTTAATGGTGTTACGGCACGCGAGTTGTTTTTACTACTTGAGGTGCGGGGTGGATATGGAGAGGCATAGCAGGATTTATGGGCATTCTCGATTTGGGAAGGGAACTATGAACAAGTGACTGCACAAATGTATTATATTTCTTTTGTTTTTTAATTTCTTGTATGACATTGGATATTTCTTTTGACGGTGGGAACCTCATTTATTTTCATTTTATGTTATTTTTGTGGCTTATTAGAGCCTTCATCTGACGTGATTGTAAATTTGTGATCGATTGCATGTTCTGGTTGGTTGGAGCAGAGAAATTATCCTCATGGGATTGCAGCAGTGCAATCAGTCCATTTTTGGTAGGCCATTTCTGCTGCGAGCTCAGGTTGTTAGGGTTTTGCAGACAAATGCTAGCTGATAGGTAATGGAGATTAAAAAGCTATTTTATACCTAACAGTTAACAAAAAGTGATCTAATCAAATCTGAATGATTAATTTTTATATAATTTATTTGAGGCATTTGAAGGGCGTATGGGAACACTTTCTGAGGATGGCCAGTCGCTAACAAGTCTTACTGCCTTGATTCTGGAGCCCTTAATGGAACCACCAGAACATATTTTGATGAGGGAATGATCGCGGTGAGTTAAAGTTGCCTCGTTCTATAATTGTTCAAACTCTGATCTTTTACCAAATTTAATTTAGAAATGCTTGAATATTTATCAGGCCCAGAAAGATGGAGGGTCAATGCAAGACAATCTCTCTCTTCAGTATTGAGATTGGCGAACGTCACTATTATATGATTGAGTTGACATACTATTCGCTTAAGAACTATTAAACCTTGGTTGAATCACTCTCGGAAATTGGCATGGAAGTAAAGACCGGTTTATATTCGGCCTCATTGATCTACTATTGTAGGGAAATTGGCGTGGGCCATCTGCTTCAGGAGAATTGGATTCATGCCTGCACATCCTACTATTACAGGGAGCAAAAATGATTTCAAATTATGCGAAGTTGCAAAACTTTTTCCAAAAATATCTGTACACTTTCCAGCTATGCGACGAGGAGAACAAGGAACGATTATGGGAATAACTGTGCCCTCAAGTTTGTTTTGAATCTACCGTCAATGGCTCTCTCTCTGTAGATCCTTGCAGATGTGCCAATGGCGTCATCCTAAAGACTGCACCACCGCCCTAATCAAATGTGTACAGGTGGATGAATTTATTGAAGATTAAAGACCAAACTTTTTAGCATGGCAAATATTTTATGTGATGAAATTTCTTATTTTAGCTTACTATCTGGGTTAATCTATTTCATATGGAAATTGGAACTCAGAGATGAGGGACTGGAGAAGTAATGATGGAGGCACTCAACACTCTACTCAATGACCCATCCTCGCATTTACCAGTCGAAACCTTAGCCAATGTTGTAACTTGTCATGATTAAAAAGCTGTCAATCCTTCGCGCCCGGGATTGATGGGGTTGAGTGTGGCGCACTTCCTCTACTGCCATTATCCATCATTATAATGATCATGACTTGATGCACTTTAGCTTGAAAATTTATAGTTAGTTGCTCTCAGCTAAAAAATTCTTGTTGCAGTTCTTGCTATATGTCTCCTTGCCTTTTCGTCCACCTTCTAGTATAATGTACTTATTGGATTTCTATGAGCATCTACATTGATTTTCCTTCTTCTCATGAATCTAAATGTGTTTTCCATTGTAAGAAATTGTCAAGTGCTTCCTTTTTTATGCTGTTACATCTAATGTGTGGAAGGAAATGATGATTTATTTTCACTCTTTTTTGTGTGATAGTGAAATTATTTTTATTTGTGGTGATTCTGAGAAGGTTTTTGAAGCTTAAGGTAGATTTCAAAGCATATCCAACTAAAAAAATGGATCTAACAGATTTCATATTGCCTTAGAGTTTGTTTTCTAACTCCAAGCAACCAAATTGGGGAGCCAGTTCAAAATGCTTTCATCTGAACTGGAGGAATGTGACCGCTTTGGCTTCGCATCTATTACATTATTTGTCATCTTTTGTCAGTGTTCTTTGAAATCATCATCGGTGGGTTAGAATTTCATGGATAGAAATCCAAATTTGCAATGAAAACAAAATACGAAATTATGGCTTCCATATTATTTCAATGACTGTAATATCAGTCCTTTTCAACAGTCACTCAAACATTAATGAAAGTCGTTTGTGTCCATCCTTATTAAGCTTAAATGATATGTGAACTTATTTTTGCAGGTATTACAAAGTTATCGAAGCTGATCACATATTTTTTATTATAAATCGGGAGAGAGCAGGAGTTCAGTTTGATCTTTTGTATGATAGCATTTTTGAGCGCTGCAGAAAGCATGTTTTCCGGATGACTCCACCACCAGTAGTTCCAAATCACAGCAACCATTAGGCCATTTGTTCTCCATAGTTAGTTGAAGGTCAGGTAAAAATGTAAAGGCAGTTGAGTTCTCTTACGCTTATATGATTTAAACTGTTAAGAGAATTAGATAATGTATACAAGTGTCATTTTGGTTGCTTGCAGCAATGGTTAGATTGCATCTATGTGTCAAGAAAAAAGAAGGGTATATGTTATCTTGGATTTGGAACTGTTGAATATCTTCAATAAATTTATTTTTAATGTTTTTATTTTGCTTTGCTTATTAGCCTATCTGTTTAGTGACAACTTTGAATATTAATTTCATAAATTATGTTCAAGTTCTATTTTGATGGCATCTGAATATTTGTAAATTGGCTATTTTTTTATTGTAGAACTTATAATATGCTAGAGTTTGAAATTAATAAAGCATGTATTTGAGTGTACCATTAAGTTAAGAGGAAGCATAAGCAGTAAGTAATGCAAAGATAATCTGACAGATAAGTACACAGGAGATGTTTAAATTGTTCAGCCCTTTATATGCCATCTCATCCTTTAAACAATTTGCCAATATATTAATGTCTATATATTTTAAACTCATGCATGCTTTGAAACTTTGTATGTTATTCTTCTCTCAGTTGTTGAACGGCTTGATCCATTTGGTGATGGTCCAGTTCTTGAGAATGCAGAGATTAACAAAGATTTTGATGCAGTGATTACAGTAGAATTTGGTGTGAGTGCTCTGCACCACCAAGATTAATGACTTCTTCTAATTCATCTCTTCTTCTTTCTTCTTCTAGGTTGCGTTCCTTAGGAGCATTTGGAATAACATAGTAAATGCTAATATAGTGTTAGACCGGTCCTTGAACTGGTCTAGCCGATCCATCCTGGATCGACCTTATTTTACCAGAGTCGGAACAGATGTTTCGCCCCAGCCAATGCAGACCCGTTTGGGGGTGGGTTCCATTAACCATATTAACAAGGGTATAGGAAGGAAATTTTAAAAGGAGAGGCTGTTTTGGAACTAGGGGGAATTATTGTATGCTTTTAGGGGAATTATTTTCTTGGGTTTGGATTATTGAATGTTTTTCTGAGTTTTATTTTCCTAAGGAGAAAGAGGGACTCTAGTGGGCTGCTAGGGTTTGGGAGAGCCGGATCTTTCTCTCAAATCAAATATCCATTGTATCTTGCTTGTTTTCTTCTTCCTACCATCAATTAAAACATGTCTTTTTTTTTGTGTTTCTATCAAAATTTTGTCTCTTTTTACTATTTGGGGTTTGTTGAAATTCAATTTCAGTCAAAGAAGTTCACTTTGAATATTTTCTATCATATAGCAAATTATAAATCATGGGAAGTGAAGGGACAATGATATAAATTGATTGAAATTTCATGGAGTTGATGGCTTTACTTTAAGTGAAGGGCAATCTCAATGATGAGGCCAAACTAGAGATTAACAGATTAGTTTCAGTTAAGATCTTGAAGCTTAATAAGATTTGAGAGTAGCAGAAAACTCAAATCAAGCTTAGGTGACGCAATGATAAGTGAATGAAGTGAGTGTTATTATGATGACATTGGAATCACTATCTTCGATAAAAATGGTGTTCCTAAGAATATACTAAAATATGTAGAATTGAGCAAGTTCAACAAGCTGGCGAGTTGATCGGGCCAAGCTCGAGCTTAAGCTTTATATAATACATGAGCTTGAATTTAAGCTTGAACTCAAACTCATGGCTCAACAACTTCAACTCAAGAGCTCATTAGCAAATCTGAGTTCAAATATGTTTGGCTCACTCTCTATATAAACTTTGATTCTAAGTTAATGTGAGCCTGCAGGAGCTACTAGAAACAAAACTGTACCAGTGGACCCACCCCCACCAAGCAATGCCCCCACACTTTGTTCATACTTAAGCACTAACTCAAAGACATGTGTTTTGCATTAAATAAGGTACAGCAACTTTTATGGTTGTGATGTTTCGCGTGTTGATGACTTTCTTGTTGATTCTTAGATAAACTTTTTAGCATAAAATTTTTAATTAAAAAATTATTTTAAGATGTAACAAAAAAATTGTCCAAATGAAGCCTAAGTGTTTAACGATGTGAGATTTGTA